CCTATCAAAATATGTCATTTGCATTTGATCAGAGTTGTTGAAACTCACAGTCCTCATGAGCGAGCTTTTCAGCCTCTCTCTCCAGCTGGATTCTCTCTTCATCTACCTCCATGACACACTCCAGAGCAGTCTTCTCACTGGGAGCCATCTCACGGGTCAGGTGGTAGATATCAATGTGTTCTGGAATCGGCACCTCCCTGTGACCAATTGCTGACAGCAGCATGGATTTGCCTACACAAATTTACATTCAAGTCTGTTATCTATGAGCCTGTCAATTGAAGTAATTTCTAAAGCCACCAAGAGGAGATCTATTAGTCCAACATGAACAGATTGTTGATTTACCAGTTCCATTGAGTCCGATGAGGCCATACCGACGGCCAGAGTTGAGCTCCAAACTAGTGTCACTGAGTAGCTCTTGTCCGTGAAAGGTGAGAGACAAGCTGCTGATGTGCACATCAGTGCTGTTGGGATGAGATGCCAACACACCAGTCACTGCCCGAGCCTCGGTTTTCTTCAGCTCAAACTCATCCAGCTCCTTCGTCAAACTGGCAACCCCTGTAAAAAGAGAAAAATAATATTCAAATGGATTAAGGAGGATGATGAGAACCAGGTTTTAAAACATCCTGAATAAAAGCACATGCAATGTCAATTCAGACAAATGCATAAAAACAGATGGGTTGAACAAAAATGCAAGTCCACTCTCTGACAGTAGGTGGCACTTATAGAAAAGCAGAAATAACCTTTGCATGGTGCGAAATCCATTGTCTGTCATCAACAGTGTAGCAATGTAAGAAACATACAGTATTTAATTTTTTTTCAAACAGCTGATTTTTTTTATTCGCTATGAGGTTTATCAAATAACACCGATACAGAGAGAAAAGAGCCAGGTTTATATTCTTTCACAGCTATTCACTGGCGCTTGGAAAAATCCTTTGGGCACATGACCAAAAAACAAATCTTATTGGTTGGCCAGTTTTCTTCACAGTGCAATGGAAAAGAGACTAGAACACCTCTCTATTTATATAAAAAAATGAGGAGAGGGAGAAAAAAAAAAAAAAAAAAAAAAAAAAGGAGTCTTTGACCTAGGGCTGGGACAATAATTCAATATCAATATGCATCGCAATATAATTTCTCAATAACGGTGATATGATTTTTAAACATTTCCGATATACATTACTAGTATTTCCCATACATTGATTTATTTGTGGCATTTGACATCGTTGAATAAACGTGCACTGGTCGTTTCAAAATCAAAACGTGGCGCGGGTGTTTTCTATGAATGTTTCTCTGAAGGGAACCGACGGTCTTCAGAAAAGTTTCTATGGCATTTTTATTTTATCTGATAAAGTAGCGTTCATGAGGAGCTGCTTTGATTACAGCCATTACTGGAGAAACCGCTGTTTATACAGCTCTCAAAGCACCTCCTGCTGGCAGACAATCAGTTCGCATTTTCAATAAGCCCGTCTCCAGCAACATTTTTGTTGTTGCTTAATTTTTTTGTTTTCTGCAGCAACTCGGAGCACTTTCATACGCTTTATACTGGCTGAAGCACATTTGTTTCAATCTATAAGAATAATCAGCCTACACTACCAGTCAAAGGTTTTTTTTAACAGTAAGGTTTTCTATTGTTTTTTTTTTTAAAGAAGTCTCTTCTGCTCACCAAGCCTGCATTTATTTGATCCAAAGTACAGCAAAAACAGTAACATTTTGAAATATTTTTACTATTTAAAATAACATCTTTCTATTTGAATACATTTTAAAATGTAATTTATTGCTGTGATCAAAGCTGAATTTTCAGTATCATTACTCCAGTCTTCAGTGTCACATGATCATTCAGAAATCATTCTAATATGCTGATTATTATTTTTTTATGGGGGGGGGGGGGGGGTTGTTATAGAAATTAATACTTTTATTTAGCAAGGATACTTTAAATTGATCAAGACATTATATACAAAAGATTTATATCTCAGATAAATGCTGTACTTCTGAACTTTCTATTCATCAAAGAAACCTGAAAAAATTATATGCTGTTTTCAACAAATGTTTTTTTGAGCAGCAAAGCAGAATATTAGAATGATTTCTGAAGGATCATGTGACTGAAGTCATAATGCTAAAAATTTAGCTTTTTCCTGTGTGAAAATCACAGGAATAAATTACATTTTAAAATATTTCTAAATAGAAAACAGTTATTTTAAATAGCAAAAATATTTCAAAAGTTTACTGTTTTTGCTGTATTTTGGATCAAATAAACTCAGGCTTGGTGAGCAGAAGAGACTTCTTTAAAAAACATTAAAAATCTTAGTTCAAAAACTTCTGGCTGGTATGTTAGCCTATAGTTTGAAATTAAAGATATTAATAATTAATAAGGCGAGTCTGAGATGTTTATTTGACAGTGATTTCACATTTCTTGTTTGTATGAAGGCTAAATACAAATGAAAGGTGAACATTAATTTATTTGTGCTGTTTTTTTCTTCTAAAAAAAAATTTAATTGTTTTATAGGAAGAGGTTTCATAGAGTTGGCAAATGAATTTTTCATAAGTTTGTATGCACGGACATCTGTTGTGGGTGTTCTTAGCAGTTTTTATTAGGCTTTCTTTAAGTGTTCATTAGGGCGATAGGGCTGGCCATATCGTCCAGCCCTACTTGACCAGACTCATTAACAGATGTTCATTCAAATTAAAATGATTATGACACCAAATTTTCAAATGGTATATTTGTTGTTTTGGTCTGAACAGGCCATAAGAGTGCCTTGGAATGGTTTGCCTTACCATTGACCTCAGCCGGTTCATTCTGCTGGATCTCAGGTTTCTCTGCATCACCATCCACTCCATCCTCTGGTTTCTTTGTACGCTGACGAGCTTTGGCTGCTTCTTTCTTCTTTGCCGCCTTCTTTTTTGCCAAATCAGATGGCATTATAACTGTGAATACCAGGAACAAAACCTCTGAAACCTGTGGGAGAGAGACAAAAAAAAATTAGTTGGAGGAAAAGATGCTCTCAAAGGATTGGGGGGGTGGGGAACATTACAAAGAACACACTGTTATCAAACGTACTTCCCGTTCAATCCAAATTCAATTCGCCTATTTTTTTTTTAAAAACGTATACTTAGTTCACAGGGTTGTTTTAAGTTCTCGTGTTAGCATCCACCGAGCTGCAGGCACCAGAGGTCAGTGGTTCGGCTCGGCTAACGTGGAGTCCACCAGTACTTTTCCCTGACGCAGTGTAACGTTAGGCGAGTAACTGCAAGGATGAAGTGATACCGGAACAACAAAGACTTCTCTGCACATTACAGCTATGATATCGCGTTGAGTTTTGAACAAAAATACAAATAACGGATAATATAGCGAAATATCGAAGCCGCTACTCTTAAGAGAATAAAGCGCGTCTGTTAACTCCAAGGCCCGACCAATGAACCAACCATGCTAACTCTAGCCATAAAGCACCGGTGTATCCCAGATCACGAGTAAATCTTGCTCCCTGGACATAGAACAACTGCAGTTTATATCCACATTTTGATAAGATAAGTAACTTCAGTAAATTAAAGTGGAATCAACCGAAAAAACACGTTTGACTAGTTGAGGAGCGCGCGCGAGTCTCTGTTCCCACGAGCTAGCCGGCGAGCTAACAGCCGGTAAGACTAGCCAGTTAATCCGAAAGATGTCCGGAGAACAAAATTACATGAGCAAAAGAGGTATGTGTTTTTGTAGACATCGATCATCACAGGGATAGAGCGTTAACACGAGTAAATAACCAACTTTAGTGGAATTAGGCCGTTAACTTACCTAGCTCTCTTCCGGATGAAGCGCTAGCACCGGAGAAGCGGTCTCATGGCTCGCGCTACAAGCGGACGGTGTGAGGCGCGTGTCACCAAAACCGGCACGGCAGCCAATCAGAGGCCGATACATAATAACTCTCCACCCTCTGCTTTGCATAGGGAAGAATATCTGGGCGTGTTTTGTTTCACGGTTTAGTCACACCACAATGACCTAAAATGAGTAATACTATCAACTAACAATGTGAATCATCCAGAAATTATAATTACAAGGTTATGCTATGCTTATCATTTATAGTGCATTTTTTCCTAGAGGAATCATACCAAAAGTACAAGTCTATTACTATTTACTCATGTTTTCGCAAACCCCCATGACTTTTTCATCTATCGAGCAAAAAGGTGATTTTTTTGTTGTTGTTGGAACAATTACACTTTTTCAGTGTGTGTAATGAAAGCGAATGAGTTCAAGTTATGAATTAATAATTCAGACTGGTTTTGTGAACTGGATCAACGACGACAATGATCATGAATTTGTATTTATTTTATTAATCTTGTTCAAAATGTCCATAACAGACGCACTGCACTTATTTAAATAAAATACATAACACAGTAAGAATGTCTTGTAAAAAGGTAAAGGGCCAATGCCTCTGAATATGAACATCTCTTCACATTCATGAGTACCAGATTTAGTTCTCATCTGTAACACTTGTGCATCAAAGCACATCTGAGGCCACAGGTATACAAATGCCATCAACTTGTGTGATGGAATATTCAGTAAAATTAAGTAATTTATTGGCATTCACAAAGATGATGTAACCATACTTAAACTTTGGTTAATGCTTCCTGTGCATATCAGTGATTTAATAAGGCAACAAAGATCCAAAACATTTCACAATCATGCTAAAAAAGAAACTCATAAAAACATGAAAATATTAACATGCAACATGCATTATTGTATTTATCAACACACAATATATTTAGAACATATTTTGTTTTACTGGCATTTAAAGCCTCTGAAAATGAAGATGTTTTCAAACATCTTTTATAAACACTGCTTATGAGCAATAATTTTTGCCGTTTTTAACAATACACAAAAATTGGTATTGTTAATACAAGTGTTCACAAATCAGAATGATTTACCTTATTGAAGCATTAATGTTTAATTTTCTAATTAAATTTAATATTAAAATGATGACAATAAATGTCACTTATTGCAAAGAAAGTTTGTTGATTTTCATCCAGTGGATTTCTTCATGATATCTTTTACACAGTGCAAATTTAAAGACAGAAAAACAAAGGAGAAAGCTGAAAGCAGAATGTGTTGAAAGAACATGTAGGGAAAACATGACAGATTCAATATCTATACTTACATACTCACATTTAGCATGTCATTAATGGTTAAAAAAAATTCCCAGGCAACAAAGTTTTATTCATTGTATTTTCTACCTTTCCAAGTGAGAAGACACACAGTGTATCTGCACTTCATGTGCATCAAAAAACTGATTTGTGTGTTATCAGTGTGAAAGTGGCATTTCCAAGCCACTTTCTTGAATTCATTGTACTGTGAGGTTATATACATTCAACTGTACAGTAAACATACATTAAATAAAAGTACAATTACACTTTTATTGTCCCTCATTGGTTAAAAAATCCGTCCAAACCTCATTCTGAGAAGGGGTCTAATACTTTCATGTCCACGGAAAACTGCCCAGTGTGGATATCACCAGAATAAAAGTGACCAAGCCACAGGTGACGCAAACTAGTTGTCAACTTATTCTTGAAACGGAGATATTTTAGGTGTTTCGAATTGCCAAAGCTTGTTCAAGCTCCTGTCTTCGTTGTTGAATCTACATAAAAGGAAAGAAGCATACATTTGTAAATGAAAAGACCAAGTGAAATGTCCACTTTTGATTCTACCATGAAAAAATACCATTTAAAATATCCCTTTTATTGTTTTTTTAAAGCATAAAATGTAATTTATTCCTGTTATGGCAAAAAAGCTGAATTTTCAGCTTCATTACTCCCCACGATCCTTCAGAAATCATTCTAATATGCCAATTTAGTGCTTAAGAAACTTTATTTATTATTACTATTATTATCAATTTTGAAAACAGTTGTGCTGCTTAATGTTTTTGTGGAAACTGATATATTTTCAGGATTCTTTAACGAATGGAAAGTTCAAAAGAACAGCATTTAATTCAAATAAAATCTTTGCAACATTATAAATGTCTTTATTGTCACTTTTGAACAGTTTAATGCATCCTTGCTGAATAAAAGTATGCATTTCTTTCAAAAAATTCTTACTGACCCCAAACATTTGTCGCTAACACGATTCATTTGCATGTGCCCCTCACCTTGCAATAGAAATAGCGGCTGACAGCTTCCTGAGACCAGGGCTGGTTATAAAACTCTGCTCTTCTCTCTTCCTCTGGATTTCCTACTGTATCTGTCATCAGCTGTAACCACAACAAAATCCAGTCCAGTTCAAAACGGAAGAAAAGACAATTTCTCTAAAAGCAGTTACATCCTTTCGACCATTAGGTAGAGACACTGTGTCAAAAATGTTTAAAGTCGAAACCTTATTTTGACATACATTAAGTGTGCAAAATGGTTTGATATAATAATACTGTATATGACTTTGATTTTGAGCTGTACACATAGTTTAGATTCACCTTAAGGTCCCGGTTCTGGGAACAGATCCAGTCCTGGATGTAGCCCTTGGGGTCCCTGGAGAAGCTAAGCATAAAATCTCTTTGGATCTTCAGTTGGTTGATCGACTCGATAGTTTCATGGATCTAAAGAATAAATGAAAATGTGATTGTTAAGAGAACACCAAATGTACAACCAGAACTTAATAGTTATGCATAGGGTTTATATTAAGTTAAATAAAACAGCACCTAGATATTCAACAATTCTTGTTGGCTTTCACATATTAATGATAAAGCTCTTTCTGACCTTGTTGTCCAGGGATGCAATCTCATGCTGATTGGCTGTGGACAGCAGGAATCCATTCATCTGACTCTTAAGAGGATCATCAACTTCAACATCAATGTCATAGCATGCTGTCTTCTTCTGGTCATTTGCATCCACGCTGATTAAATTCAAATTGAAAAAGGCATTTAAAAGAACAGTTAATCTGAAAGTACAAATTCAGATCTTAGTTACTCACCCTCATGCCATTGTAAAGCTATATGCTGTTGTTTTTTCAGTGTAAAACACGATAATACACGACAACCTATAATGCTTTTTGTAGCGTCACGCTATGAATCAATTCAAATAATATTTAAAAAATGATATTTTTGTGTAAAGTATTACATAAAAAATAATATTATACAGGTTTGGAACAAGATGGGGGTGAGTAAATCACAAAATTTACATTTTGGGTGAATTATCCCTTTAAATTGTAAACAAAAACAGGCCCCTTAAAAGGTCCATTCGTGTCAAAGGACTTAAAACTGCTATAGATCAAATGATTTTAAGTTTGAGGATACAATAAATGGAGAAACATTCTGAATTTATGACCACTTACCTGATAATATGATTGATCACAATAGGATCAGGCGGCAGCAGTAGGTTAGTTAGTCGTTGGGGGATCTCACAAAACTTCAGACGAGGACAGTCAAAGATCTGAGAAAAAAATGTGTTTGCTATCAGGCAAAATGTTAACACCAAAATGAAGAAAGTATTTTATATGACAGAAGTATGGCAGTACCTGCTGGAAATATTTATCACAGTTGATGTACTCCTTTTCATGAGAATCCTGCAGCTTGTTGGTCTTGACGTACTGCCATAAAGCCTGGATGATGCAGGAGCGGGTCTGAGTGTGGATGCCAAGGAGACGTGCAAGACGAGGATCCAACTTAAACTGAGGAGGCTGAAATGCACAATGAATAAAGAAATTAAATAGACACATTCCAAAATGTATAACAGAACTATACCTTTATAAACTATTCACAAATTTAGTACATTACCCTACTACAATTTACATTCAGTATACTTGAATAGTTGACATAACATGTCTATGAACTTCATTCAACAGCAAGGGTTTAGTTTAAACTTTACACTACCATTTCAAAGTTTGCCATCAGTAAGACCTTATTACATATATTCAACAAGGATGAATTCAATTGACTTTAAAGACATTTATAATCTCAGAAAAGATTTCTATTTTAAATAAATGCTGTTCTTTTGAACTTTCTATTTTATCAAAGAATCTTGGTTTCCACAAAAACATTAAGCAGCACAGCTGTTTTTAACTTTGATAATGATATGAAATGTTTCTTGAGCACCAAATCAGAATGATTTCTGAAGGATTGCGTGACACTGAAGACTTGAGTAATGGATGCTGAAAATTCAGCTTTACCATTACAGGAAAAAATTCTATTTTAAAACATAAAAAATAGAAAACACACTGTAAAAATGATTTTTTAAACTTTTAAATGCCAGAGTAACAGTATAAAGCGTACATCTTAGCTCCTCTAAATGGTTACCATTTCTACAATATTTATCACCATTTTTAATCACTTTTCTGCCTTTGCTAATTTATTTAAATGCTTCTCTGGCATGATTAATTCATTTTTTTTAAATATGACTTCAATTTAATCTCACAAAAACGCAATGTATAATAATTATTATAATTATAAAAGATTTTAAAAAATGTAACTAGTTCTAGGTGGATATAGCATGTCGTTTATCTGGATACTGCTAAAACTACTTTACATTTCATGTAAACTACACAATTGCAAATCTGTTTCATTGTCTCTTTTTCTACATTTTAATCTCCATTGTTTAAAAACAAAGCTTTAGTTTTCTGACAAATCAAGCCTCTTCCCACCAGGTTGTAGTTAGCAATGTGAAAATTGCTACAATTAAAAGAGTCATTTAGTCACTAGCCATAGCTACTTTGGTGAATAGAGAAGGGCAATCAAACTTTTAGAGATGAATGACTTGACTATACCTTTTAATTACAGTGCTTTTCAAGATGGATAAAACAATTAAGCTAAAACTATCATTATGCAGATGAATTTCTAATTGGCCATTTCTAAATCTCAACACATTTATTTGGTGGTATACATTTTGTACAATAATTTATGCAATACATTTTATTTAAACTTAATCGTTTCAAAAAATCTATATCTTAAAACTAAAACTTTATTTCTAGGTCTAGATTTGATTTTGAATCTCAGATTTTCAGACTTTTAGAGCCCATAGTAAATTTTTCACATAGTTATCATTTAAAGAGTTTGACGTCATGCCCATAAACCTGCTACAGCATACAAACTGTCCACTGGTAATCCATCAACCGTAATCTCTAATTATAATCCGGCATTCCTGCACGCACCTGGTAATCCAGCATGAGTAAGAGGGTACAGCGCACATTCACATCGCCAGGCCTCTTCACCTGGAAGCCATCGGTCTCCTGGGTCGTCGGAGTGCGGTGCCACTGTTAGGATGAAACACAAACTCAGTCTAAACACCAGGCAGACAGTATAAAACTGCTGCATGAGAAGTATACAGCAATTTCAAACCAGATTTTGATATATTCTGAAGAAAATCTGAGCAGTGTTTGTCTGTGTCGAGGGTGTTTGTCAGGGCAGCCAGTTGCTAAGATGTTCTTAGTGGTTGTTAGAGTGTTGCTATGGTGTTTAGAGTGTTTTTTAGCAGGTTGCTATGCATTTAATAGTTGGTTGCTAGACTATGCTGGCTGGTTTTCAGGTAGTCACTTTCTAGCCTCCAAGTCTCTGATATTCTGGTTCCTAGATATTGTTGGGTCCTTTACTTAATGTAAAGGTCTATTCACACAAAGATTGATAACTATAAAGACAACTATATTAGTGCCCACACTGATGCACAATAACATTATTTTTATTCTAAAAGAGCGCTGCAGTTTTGCTGTATGCTGCTTTAAATGCTCAAGCTCTTTAAAGCAGGACTGATTTTCTGTCAGTGTGTTTATCCTTAATCAGCTGAAAAAAATATTTGGAAAGTGATTCCAATGATATTGTTCCTCTGTGCCATTATCGCTATAGTTGTGCTATTCATTTAAATGTAGAACAATTTTTAAAACTACATATTTAGCATTATAGTTTTCATCCTTGGTGTGAAAGGGCCTTAACTCTATGGGATTTTTTGACCGATTTATTGACCACAAAGTGAAAATTTTCTCAAAAAGCAGCACCAATATGTAATATATATGGTTATGGGTTTGTTCAAATCTGAAACTCTAAATATGAGTGACAGTATTACACTAGTGATATAACTTGCCTGTACATTCTTTTTTTAGCTATTGAGAGAGGCCGTCAAATCTTAAAATGACCCCCCCCAAAAAAAAACAACCTGTATTAACTATGGACTGCTTATGTGCTGTTAACGCATGGAGGATACATTCAAACATTTGAGTGAATAAAATGATTAGGCTCTTTATGCGATCTCACTTGCATTTTCCCTAAACCATAACATGTTTCAGCGCTATCTGAAAGAGACAACATAATGCCAGTGACTCACAGCTCAACTCAATTAGCTTTGCTTGATATTGGAGGGTTTTTTCAATGCCATCTTTCTCCGCAGGTAAATCACTCTTTTTATCACACGCCTCAATCTGGTGTGTGTTGTGATGAAAACCCACAGTCACCAAGGACAATTTAAAAAGCTGCTGAATGAATAAACCCAAATGCGGCGCGTTCAGCCAGTTCCAATAGGCCGGAGGCATAAGGGTCACTCCTTGAGAGCTGCAGCCCACTTCTGTGTATCTGCATTCCCAAGACTTCAATGTCCCTAACAAAGTGCATAAATATTAAGTGGCAGCTGGGAAGGTTCCCTTGTGTAATGTAAATGCCTGTGTGTCTGAATAGCACCTGTGCACAATGGTTCCTCCACTAAAATAGAGTAAAACGCACTCTCTGAATACAAAGACTCTCAGTTCAGGGTGCTGTGAAAGGTTTTATAGGTGTTTGTCTTCAGAAATCCATTTATTTTCTCCTGTTAATGCTGCCCAAAGCTCTGTGCTGGCTGCACTGTCATCGCTCCACAGTGTGGATGGGCAACTTCCTTATGTAGCATGTTACTATGGAAACCACAAAGATATGTCTCACTTGAAGTATGGTTAACTGAACTTTTCATTATGACATTGACGTTTCTACTGAGTTCCAATCCAATCTGTCACACAGTAGAGACCAAGAGATTCTTGTGGACATGTACTTGAATGCGACATCATTTCGCCCTGTGTGACTGTCCTCAACCTTGTTTGAATTGCAAAGAGGACTATTGAGATTCGCCCATATTAATTGCTTCCAACTTTTGTAAAGAATGAATATTGAATATGGTTTAGCAATGTTTTTATTGCCGTATGTCGAGTGAGTTAATGCTTACCTCCACTAAGTGGTTGTCAGGGCCATACAGATCCTTATCCAGCTCAATAACAAGGCTCTTAAAGAAAGACGAAAACTTCCTCTTTTGTTTTCCAGGCTAAAACGCACAGGGAATAAAAGACAAAGCTTAAAAAAGGAGACTTGCAAATTGAATGAAGCCAAACAAACATTGGCATTGACAGAATAGTACCTTCAAAAAAATAAAACGTTCAATTAGCTTAATTAAATTGTTCTATGCAATTAAATTAAGCTTTTTAAAGAGAAAAAAAATAATTTGAATGGATTTGTTCTAGCCTACCAACCTAAATACATTTTGTTACATCTGCTAGATGCAATGAAAAGGACTAAGTTGGATTCCGCTATGGTCAATGGAAATTATTCATGCGTGGATTAAATAAACTTCCATTAAACAAATGTCAACTGATTGTGTGCAATGAAATTAAGTTGTGGGGAAAAAATGGTCAGGAATTGTTACATTTGCTCATTTTATTAAACTAAATTGAACAAGTGGCAAAAATAATATTTTGACTAATACATAATAATATAATATAATAACAATGGTCATGGCAAATTAATTCAATGCTGCATTATAGAACAGATGGTAAGATTATGAATGCAAACTCAGTGCTTACATCATCCAACAATTTGCCCTCTACACGCAGCTCCCAGGATGCAATGCTGCCCTCAGAGTCCTCTGCGTCAGGTTTGGCAGGGTTGAAAGTGTTTGAAATGTACAATCGTAGTTTCCGCTTTTGCTTTAAGAGAAGAGACAGTTTGAGCTGTACCCACATTTTCCATATTATTGCTAACTATGCTAACTATATCTCACTGAAATGTGTACTCTAACTGCAATCACATACCTTCATTGGTCTTTTGAGGGCTTCTTGTATATCTACCCTCTTCCTCATAATGGTTTGGTCAAGTTTGCGCTCAAAAGCCAGGAGGTCCATGTACGCCTGGGACTCTGGCACCAGTTCACGGATCTAATGAAAAGGCATTGTGCACAAGTAATTCTGCAATCAGGTCTTGTAACAATTAAAGGCATCATCCATTGTAAGATGTTTTCAAAGCAGTTTGATGATATTTTACACGTATGGTCTATGATACAGTCTAAAGATTTTCCCTGTAACTTTCTCATTTATTATCAATTTTGTGGTGTTAAAAATGAGGTTTCTGATTTTCAACTGCTTTTGTTTTAGGACCCATATTTTATTTGACATAAGCATTCTTTATCATACAATAATACATTTAAAAAAGCAAGATTATATAACTATAACATAAATCAATTTTATAAACGCAATTCAATATAAATTACTAAATTAAATTATTATATTTATATAATTAATTATTTATATTAATTATTACAATGACTGTTTTAGATTGTGATTCTCGTTTGTGACTTGTTACTGAAACAAATCATGTATTTCCTTGCAAAATTTTAACCTTATGCTCTCCTGATTTTCACAGTGTTGCATCATTCTCTCCTTCCCATGTGACCTCCAGCATTTTACAAACCTCATCATAATGAATTAACTCTTTTTGGTTTGCCTGTAAACAAAACCCAACGAAGACTTTGGGAGGATTAGCCATTTCAAGCACCCACATCCTCTCCAGTTCCTGCTATTGTGGCGTATTACAGTGTCGCATCCCAATGGAGACATTTTACCAAATCAGTCGTGTGCCTGCACTCATCCCACCTCTCCATGCAACCACACTCCATCACATTCCTTGGGAATCAAACCCTTTTCCACTGACAGAAAATAACAAATGCACAAGAGCAGTCTTCGTGACAAATTGGATCCCTCTTGCCCATTCCTTTCACTTTTTTTTGCCCACGGAAAAAAGAAACCAACACAATTACCTGTACCGTGTGATCACTCTTGACTTGGCACTGAAAATTACGACATGAATAAACAAACAAACACAGACAAACAGATAAAAGCCATTGTGATGGACCTCACCCTCTGAGGGAGAATCTTGTCTGCCATTTTTCTTCTCTTGGCACTACGGATGGGGGAAAACAGAGAGAGAGAGAAAGAAAGAAAGAAAGAAAGAAAGAGAGAGAGAGTATATATATATATATATATATATATATATATATATATATAAACCGGATGTTTTAAATTGTAATAGTATTTTTTACAATATTACTGTTTTTACTGTATTTTGAACAAATTAATTCAGCCTACATTTAAATGGCCTTTACGGTCTTCTAATGTGCACTTAAATTAATTATGTAAAAACACTAATAATTTAATAAGAGTAATTCTCAAAATGAATATCTATTGTTCATACTGTACACTATAATGTTTTGATGCCTAAACTCATTAAGAAAGAAAGAAAGAAAGAAAGAGAGAGAGAGAGAGAGAGAGAGAGAGAGGGAAAGCGTGTTACTATGGTGACTGATAGCAGAGTCCACAGGCCATCTGCTGAATAACTGGGACCCATCCAGACGTTTTTCCAGCTGTGTGCGTTTGGTTGTGTGTATGTATGTGTGTGTGATCAGAGAGAGAGAGTATAAGAGCAAGAAAAGGACAAAAAGAGGTTGAAAATAACACTTAATCATGATTATGAATGCGTAAATATTCATTTTTGCACACTTTATGGCTGTATGTCTAGGAGAGTTGCCTTGTTGCTTTCACATCTGGCTGTCTCAGTTATTGTAAAGGGCTGTTCACACAGGACACGATCTTGCAATCAAACTGCAAGCCATAGTTAACATTGTAAAATTGTTTGTCATTTTTATAGAAGGGGACAGTAAAAATGGTACAATAAAAACCTGTTAACTGTAAGTTATTTTACCACATACAGTGAAAACTGGCTTAATGTAGAATTTTATGTACTTTTACTGTAAAAGACTGTCAAGGTTTTTGCTTTTTTGGAAGTAAAAACTATAAATTACTACATAATTTACAGTGAAAAAACAGTAAGAGGACATTCCCAGAGGTTCCTGCGTGACACATTCTTCTTCTTTTATTGTCCATAATGCATATTAGGGTGATTTGTGTTATTGTATGTTATTTAGTTAATGTTTATTGAATTATTATATCGTCATGTGTGCTACCCTGATGATGTTTTGTCTTTGTTCGTATGACCCTGTACACAGTGTTTTGGCCTTGTGGCTCTCTGTTTTACCACCTTTATCATGGTGGTTATTAGTACATTTTAGGGTACATTTTAATTGAAATAGTTATGTTTTTTAACATGGTATCACTTAATCAAACATAGGGGTTTAAGTTGTAAAATATACAGGTAACAATATGCCAGCCAGTAACACTGGAAACATTGTCACCATATTTTTTACAGTGAATATCTGGCAACCACAGATGCCATTTTTATTGTTAATGTAATGGATTTTTTTTTACAGTGTAGAAAATCAATTAAAAACCAGCTCTGATCAACAAGAACACCTTCTGTTTGTGTGCAGCCCATAACATTTGTGAAAAACAGATCTTTGTGGTCCAAATGTGTGAAAATACTTCTAAAATGGGTCCCAGCATCAATTTGAACCACAAAAATTGAGTTGCATCCAACTGCTGTTTTCAGAAAGACAATTCTAATTTCTAATTTCTCTTCTATCCCCAAACATGACGCATATATTTGGTTAGTGCAGAAAAGATTTTCCATAGACAAACATGCCACACTCCTATGGACACCAAGAGCTCCTCAGGTCCAGAGCTGAGGAGCACATGACCCTGTTGGAGCAGGAAATGTCTGTCCTCATTCACATCCACTCCCCCTCTGGAGTATAAACTTTCTCATGGTCCGACTCGTCCACCCTAAGCCACACTGCTCCTCTGGGAGAAGCTGAGAAACAGAGACTGAGATGGGTGGGGGTGTGAGAGTGAATGCCTCGACACTCGTCACGTATTCTTGATCTAAAATTAATAATTAATGCATTCAGGTGAATTAAATGAGCGTTTACTGAACGTAGGTCAACTATAAGAGAGAAAAAACATTCTGAATTAACACAAACGGCATGACAGAAGGATCATGCAGCCCACACACAGCTAACTGACCGCAACCGCATGTTCTACTTCACATGCACTGCAACAGGACATTCATTCTCAGGTCATGTTGACTATTGAGTTCATTTAGTAAATGTACATTTTTATTTGTTTTTACTTTACTTTAATCTGTTACCTTAAGTGCACACATGCATTTGGGGAAATATGCTTCAGTCAAGTTTGAAGCTGCAAACGGGAACAAACCAATCAGGCAGGGACATCACAAAATGTCAAACTAACATGCAGCAGAATAAACAGCCTACTTGAAGGATCCAACTGAAGGATCTGATTGAGCGTCTCTCATGTCCATCTGTCTTGCAGATATCTCATTTGTTGCTGGAAATCCAAGTGGTTTCCTATAGGTTGATTTGGGGTACCTCTAGTTAGTTATTTAAACATAATTTTTCAGTAACAGCCGATATTGTACACACATACGTATATATAAGCAATATCTGCAAATATGTATATACACTAATCTTTAAAGGTTTGGGGTCAGTAAGATTTAAAAAAAATTTTTTAGAAAATAATAATTTTATTCAGCAAGGACGCAAAAGTGACAGTATGTTCAAAGAATCCTGAAAAATCTATCATAGTTTCTACAAAAAAATATTAAGCAGCATAACTGCATGAAAAGTTTTTGACCACACAAAACCAGTCATAAGGGTAAATTTTTCGAAATTGAGATGTATGCATAATCTGAAAGCTGCATAAATAAGCCTTCCATTGATGTATGGTTTGTTAGGATAGGACAATATTTGGCCGAGATACAACTATTTGAAAATCTGGAATCTGAGGGTGCAAAAAAAATCTAAATACTGAGAAAATCGCCTTTAAAGTTGTCCAAATTAAGTTCTTAGCAATGCATATTACTAATCAAAAATTAAGTTTTAATACATTTACAGTAGGAAATTTACAAAATATCTTCATGGAACATGATCTTTACTTAATATCCTAATGATTTTTGGCATAAAAGAAAAATCAATAATTTTGACCCATACAATGTATTTTTGGCTATTGCTACAAATATACCCCAGCGACTTAAGACTGGTTTTGTGGTCCAGGGTAACATTTGTGAAATGTTTTAATGTTTTATTTTTTGAATTTATGTAGACAAAATTGTATAGATTAGGCATATTTTTAGATTTAATAAGGGCCTTTTATTGGTTATTTGCCATGACACAAAAATAATTATCGGCTTATTTGCATGGGGCAAAATGTTAATATCGGTGCATTAAGCAGTATTGCAAGATGATGACATTCTGGCCAAGAATGTACTGGGATAAATGTTTTGTATTTTGATAATCCAGGTCTAACATATGTTAAACAATTTTAATTTTCTAGCAAGATCTGTTGAATTCAGTAAGCTGCCCCTCAGTAATCACAACTGACACTCTTACAAGCATATACAGTTGAAATGAAAATTCAAGGATAAATACAGTGCAAACAACAAGACCTGAAAAAACTAACAGCAAATTCCAAACATCACTTTCACGCCCTTGGGAAGGGAATGCTATTAGCAGGGTTGTTTCAAATGAAAATGAGCAATGGAATCCCTTCGTGAAGGTCCTTTCTGCAAGGCTGTTAGCGAAGTCGTTCGTGCAATCATGACTTTAAGTACACAGTTTTGCCGTATGTGATCACATGATCCTGATGTGTATGTAAAATGTTTTGGAAACAAATGCCACACAGACAGCAATGTGAATCAAAAAGATTCAATATCTGACACTAGGTCTTAGCAGCTACATCAATAGCTATAAACAAGAGTTTTAAAGTCAAGCTAATAGTCCAGTTCTGAAAATCAAGTGTCAGTGACATTTCCAAGTACAGGCTGTACCAAAATGGACACATACAGTATGAGACAGTAATCTCATTAGTAAAGTAGTAGTAAAGTAGTAAAGTCTTCTACACTTCTGAGTAGGAAGGGCACAGTGATACTCTCTTGTGAAAGGCAATATCTGTGCCTAAGTGATTACCTGTTGCGCTATTAATATGCTCCAAGTATTATTTTGGCATTTAATAGCGATCAAACGGTTGCTGTCTAAAGATAGAGCACCTGCACTAGCCAAACATAAGATATTTCAGTCACTAGAGAGTGCTATACTTGGCAAGAGCTTGCTGGCAAAAAGATTACAAACCTTAAAGGGATAGTTCACTCAAAAATGAAAATTTAATGTTTATCTGCTTACCCCCAGGGCATCCAAGATGTAGGTGACTTTGTTTCTTCAGTAGAACACAAATGAAGATTTTTAACTCAAACCGTTGCAGTCTGTTAGTCATATAATGTAAGTGGATGGCTATCACAGCTTTGAGAATAAAAAAAACATACACAAACCAAACCAAACCAAATTAAACCCTGCGGCTTGTGACGATACATTGATGTGTAAAGACACAAAACGATCGGTCTGTGCAAGAAACTGAACATTATTTATATATTTTTTTACCTCTGATTTTCACCGCAATGTCCGAAGCCTAAGTGATTACCTGTTGCGCTATTAATATGCTCCAAGTATTATTTTGGCATTTAATAGCGATCAAACGGTTGCTGTCTAAAGATAGAGCACCTGCACTAGCCAAACATAAGATATTTCAGTCACTAGAGAGTGCTATACTTGGCAAGAGCTTGCTGGCAAAAAGATTACAAACCTTAAAGGGATAGTTCACTCAAAAATGAAAATTTAATGTTTATCTGCTTACCCCCAGGGCATCCAAGATGTAGGTGACTTTGTTTCTTCAGTAGAACACAAATGAAGATTTTTAACTCAAACCGTTGCAGTCTGTTAGTCATATAATGTAAGTGGATGGCTATCACAGCTTTGAGAATAAAAAAAACATACACAAACCAAACCAAACCAAATTAAACCCTGCGGCTTGTGACGATACATTGATGTGTAAAGACACAAAACGATCGGTCTGTGCAAGAAACTGAACATTATTTATATATTTTTTTACCTCTGATTTTCACCGCAATGTCCGAACTGTCCTGAGCGTGTTCTCAAAAGCCGGTGCTTGACGCGTCTTCTTCTTCTTCTTCTTCTTCTTGCTTTACGGCAATTGGCGGACTTATAAGTGCATTATCGTCACGAGCCACAGGGTTTAATTTGGTTTGGTTTGTGTATGTTTTTTTGACTCTCAAAGCCGTGATTCCCATCCACTTACATTATACAACTGACAGACTGCAACGGTTTCAGTTGAAAATCTTTGTTTGTGTTCTACTGAAGAAATAAAGTCACCTACATCTTGGATGCCTTGGGGGTAAGCAGATAAACATCACATTTTCATTTTTGGGTGAACAATCCCTTCAATTAAATTTCATTCAGGCATACAAAGTGCATCAAAACCAATAAGTCCAGTTTGCCCACATGAAAGGCTCTTGGAATACATGTTTATTATTTCTCATCAGTTGTATGCAGAAAAAGTGCCACTCACTTTCTGGGACGGTTCTGGACGGGGGGAGGTTGCACTGGCTGGGTTGGGGCAGGACGTTTTCGGTTGGGGTCTAGGGCTGGGTTAGGCATCCCTGGTCGAATTGGTGGTGTTCCACCATATGGAGGTCCAGGAGGCCCCATGGGAGCGCCTTGATGGGGCATCCGTGCCCCTGAGGTCATCCCTGGACGCTGTGGAGATGAAAAAAATGTAGACTAAAGGTCAGATACCAACACATTTCTTTGTTGAACTCATTTGACATATTATATGATGTTATCTGTCTGACACACAATACATGAAAATACATGCATATATTCGTATATGCATATTCATCAAAGTTGTAGCTTTTAAATCAATTACAGCAAGCTGACATAATGCACAAAGACTCTTTTGAGCTAAGGCACTATAGGGCGCTGTTATGAGCTCCTCCAGTATCTGAAGCAGAATTAGCCCAGGGCCTCTCGCACCTGTGCCTGTCACTTCAGAAGCGACAGCTGCTCGCCCTCTACTGAAACACAGAGGTGCTGGGTAAGTCAGCCTAATGCAGTCTAAATGACAACTGTGCAAACTGTGATGTCAAATAATGTCTCATTTCATCTAGTCCACATACATTGTGCTTTCTGGAATTGGAAATGTGTTTTTTGGGGAATGTCATTTCCATTTTTTCAATATAATTCTGGATTGATTTGTATTGTGAAACCGCTATATGAATAACTCTGAATGGAATTGATTTTTTTTTAATTGAACATCAGCAACGCAATACAGCATTTATTATTCTAGGCTATTGTTAATACATCTACAAACGCAAATACATTCACATTTTTTGCATAAATTTATATAAAGTATATTCCATAAGAGAGTTTCATTTAATTTAGTGATACAAACATTAGTTGACATAAAAACAACATTATATTTATAAATTAACATTAACAGATTAATAAATGTGAATGTGAAAAGTGCTATGTATAAATAAATTGAATGGAGTTACTTTTTTTAATTGAATATAGCAATATTCAATTCATCAACAGTAGTTAATGCAATAGCTAAAATGAAATATAAACAATACATATATAGTATTTATTATTGTAGGTTATTGTTCATTTCTACATACAAATACATTTACATTTTTGCATGCATATACATTATATTTCATAATTTAATATATTGATACAAATATTAATGGACAGAAACAGTAGTATATTTATAATTTAACATTAAAATTGATTAATAAATACTGTTAAAAAGTTGTTTATTGTTAGTTCACAACACCTAAAGCATTTATTAATGTAAAAAAATCGAATCACACCGTAAAGTGTTACTCGACTGAAGAGCAATATTGTCTTTAGGTTTTTGTCCTGTTATTATTTCTCAATGCAGTTTGTGTGCTGCAGAGGAGATTTGAGGTCTGTTGTTCATGACTCATAATGGCAGAGTCACAAAGTCCCTGTGACTCTCTGGATGTGCACCAAAGTTGTGGAAACATCCAGAATGTGAGCCAACGTCCCCAGCTCCAGTCCTCCCTCCAGTGCGGGTACAGTACATCTCTGCCAGAGATGCTCCCGTATGGTGCTGTGACCCTCACGACCCGATCATCGCTTCCCAAAGTAGGCCAAGCTCCAGAGGTGTCCAGGCCTGGTCCAATCTCAGAACATCTGAGTGAGGAGGCAGTGGGTTGTGAACATGTGGACGCTGCGGGAACCGGTGCAGGTCTCTGCACGCCTCTGCCAATCCCTGGCTCTCAAGGTCGCTATGGAGGTGTTCAGGGCACAGAAGGAGGCCGCAGCACTGGACTATCACACAGGATAGGTTTCTCAACACTTTCTCGGTACTGCTGTGCCAGAAATATACTACATATCTGTTCAGAGGTACCAATTTTGTAGATACCAATATTATTGTTCTCAGATCAATCACAATGTGAATCTTTATTAATGGAGAAAAAAATCAGAGGGTTTGAGATTTTTAACCTTCACCACATGGCTTAAGGCCAGCTTTGCAAGTTTGTAGTACAACCTGTTAAATAATGAAAATGTATTTAACAGGTTAGAATGGTTATAACATTTTAAATAAATAAATAAAATAATTGTACATGGTCTGTTAGCAATCATAGGCCGAGTGATCTCTCATTTATAAACCATGGAGAAGTTTGTGATCTCCAGTAAACACTCATGAAGAGTCTGCATTCAACCCCAATCCATCAATTTATGAAATATCTATACTTTCATATACATCAATAGCCCTTTCTGGAATAATATTTCCAGTGTAAGTGCTTTGTTAAATAATACATGGCAAAAGCAAAGCTAATTGAGGGTTAGGATGTCTTGAAGGTTGTGTTTTAGCAAAGAAGCCTCTAGAAACAATACCTTTTATTTGGTCTGATATCAAATAGCACTAGAAAATAGCTGCACAACCACCAAAAGTTCTCAAAAGTCTCCATGAACCTTTCATTTGTCCATATTTTTATGCCGTAAAAGCCCTGAAACACATACAATCAAGTTTGCTTCCACTACATTTTCACGACTGGGTAAAATACAGCAGGATTTTTTGTGTGTGTGATCTACCCTTAGGGTGCTCCTGCTACACACCCTCCTCTGCCTGCACACACACCAAAAGAGCATCCTCTGTTTCATACTAGTGCTTGTCCCTCAAAATACAAGTATCTCTCACACTTCCAGTACCGGAGTTTCTCTTTCTTTATCCTCCTCCATATGTTAAAGACAATAACCTTTCACCCTTTCTCCTACACGGCAGTTCCTGATTTTTTATCATATAGAAATAAACGGATAACACCCACTGCATCTTATTTTTCCCGTGAGCAAAGCCACTGACACACTTCCACATGCACAAACACGCTCGCTCTCTCACTCACCACTCCATGGACGAGAAACTCAAACAGTTTACTCTTGGTGGCTTTACGAGCTCCTCCGGTAGAATCCTCCATGTCCATTTATAAAACCCCCAATCTCTCTTTTGTTCCCTCTATTTCCCGGGTACCTCTGCCTCTGTATGCTTCCCTCACTTTCCCTCTCCTCCAAAAGAGAGTGCTCCCTCCCTCCTTCTCTGCACTCTGACGTTCCTTTTCTCCACTCTCTCTCTTTTTAAAGCATGTCAGTGTGTGGCCAGAGTCGAGTCTCTCTCTCTCTCTGTTTTAGTGTAGCTTCCCTCACAGACTGTGGGTTGGGAAGGATGGGGGTCTGTGAAGGGGGCTGTCGCTGGACCACCGAGGTGTAGTGGAATGCTGCTGAAAGTAGCAACATGGCAAACAGGACTATAAAAACACAAACATGGTGCTGTTCCAATAGGCGGTTATGTGGCGGTAAATTATCCTTTTGCTCTCACAGCTGGTTATTAAGTTTGAGAATTATATCAGGGTAAAGTGTGAATGACTAACACTAGGAAAACTCTGAAGGAATGTTTCTACCGGCAGGCATGTCGGTATGAGTTTGTCAGTAAGCAATTAAAGGGATAGTTCACCCAAAAATTAAAATTCTGTCATCTTTTAACCACCCTCATGTCATTCCAAATCTGACTTTCTTTCTTCAGTGGAACAAAAAAGATATTTTGAAGAATTTGAGATCCAAACAACATTGAACCCACTAATTTTCATTGCACTGACCAAAAAAAAAAGTAAATGATTTGTGATGAATTAACTATCACTTTAATGAAAGCACATTTTTGGACTTTCAGAGGCAGGTGGATGTAAACATGCTGTTAACTCTTTCAGATGATCCAAACATTAATAGGATGAGATATTGCACGACTACAAAGTTTAACAACTAATATATCTTCTTTTTTCAAAGATTGGTTCAAAGTTTGTAGGTTCAGGGGCAAGCTGTTGGGAAAAAAGTTGGTAAATCTTCGTTAATTTTTACAAATGCAATTTGTAAAAATCTCCACAATTAAAAACAATGATAATTACAATAAAAATATTCAATAATAAAAATATCAAAATATGATTTTTTATTTTCAATTATTATCATTTGTATATTGACATAAGCATTGTACTGATTCACAAAACATTTCATGTTGATTGAACCAACTAAGCACATTAAAAAAATATATACAAATAAAGAAGAGGAAGAAAAATCTCTTCCAATAGTAGAAGACCCCCTTTAAGGACCCCCATAAAAGCTAATATAGGAGGGTGGCAATGTCCCACTCAATCAGAGTGAAGGGGGTGCTGGGGGGGGCACACAGGTTTTGGGAAGACATGAGCTTGATTATCCATGTGTACAGGTGTTAATGAACTTTACATTTTTTTGTGCTCTTAGATTCATATTTTCTAGTCCAACGCACATTATAAGATCTCTTTATGAGAAAAGCACACTGCCTAGCCTAGTATTTGTGGTAAAGGAGTACATGTGATGTGGTATTGCTGAATGGATAGGCCTCCACTGGAATTACAAACTTCAGTATTGCAAACAACACAGTCTGGAAGCACACAGACACAATGCTGAGCAGATGTTGGGCTCAATGAGGATGTTCATCAGCAGTGCCATATAAGTTACAAGATACATCAGCATTAAAGCAGCTGAAAGTTTTGAGACAGACTATGTTGGTTATAACCAGACATGGTATTTCTGAGCTATACAAAACTGTGTAATCATATGGAGGCAAAAAAGATGAAGCATTCCTAACAAATAACAACTGAATGACATGAGTAATAGTTCAATTGACAATCAAGCGCGCAGGATTGTTTATAGTCTCATGATATTGTCAATTAGTATCAATGCATGAAATCGGCAAAATTACAATAGTATACTCGTCTGAATAGGACTCTCGTGCTAAACAGAAACGCTTTGAAATAATAAATGCTGAAAACGCATTTGCGGTATAGACTGAAGCGGATACTGACGCGATGCGGTGGCGTTGCATTCCTACCTTTCTTTCCATTGCTGCAAGTTTGATGCTCTCAGTTCAGCTGAAGAGCCGAGACCCCCGAATTACACGCGGTGGATGTCCGGCAACTTCTTCGTTGTTCCAGACAGATTCTCGGCTACTCCCCCCTCCCCTGGGAATGAGAGCTGGATGGAGGGATGCTGGCGAGGAAGGCCCCGTGTCTGTGATTTCAGTCGGGCTCTGGCGGCGGTGAGTGCGGCAGACGCAGGCGCGCAGGCGCGGGGATCGTCCGACACAAGCGATTCAATGAAGGATTAAGGGAACGTCGTCAAACTACAGAAAATGAAAGCAATCTGTGCATTTCGGTCACATTGCTGTAAAACGCACTTCATCATATTAACAATAAGGGACATTTTCGCTACTCGCCACGATAATTAAAATGTACAGTGCAACAGAGGAGAAATTTTCCTAACTACAAGGATTTTAGTGAGTTTTAAATTTAAAACGATGCCTACTCCGCATTCATACCGACTTTTACATATATTTAATATTTACATACATATTTACACTCCCTATACACATATACGCATATTTAGTGGACCCAAAGCTATTTGGATATCTAAAACTGACATGATTCATAAATAATGCATGGATGTATTTCTATTGTGTAACAAAGCGTCAGAGCATGGCATTCATCATTTCACTATAAAAGACTTAAGATTTAAAATGGTAAAACAAAATGTATAATGTTTGAAATGAAGACACTTATTTTGATACTTTTCAGTTTTCACTTTTTGGACATTTTCTTTCAAGAACTTGTTGTGACATGTCCATGTAAATGCAATGAACTACACCTGTGCTTTTCTATTACACGCAAAGTGAACTTAAAGGAAACTAACTTGAAATTCATTAAATTACATTCTGATGCCAGTCTGTTGAAAGTCATTGGAAAGAGGGCTCAGGAAAATTTAGTTTCTTTGCAGATGCCACTTGGTACAATATTTTTTATAATTTAATGGCACTCAAACATTTTATTTCATGGTCCAAAACTGTTTTAGGGGCTACAGTACACACTAAATTGTGTGCCGTTTTGCAAAAATGGACAAATCAGTTGCAATATGAGCAGCGGTAAAACATTTAAAAAATGACAACAGTCACCAGTAAATAAAACAATGATTTAATAGATTATATCTCCATTTCAAAAGCCTTATTGTACACAAATTATTTTAATTGTCCCAACATATAAGAGCAGCTCTACCTGATCTGCTTTAGTACAGTTTGTGTCTGGCAGACGTCCAGACGAACCCCACTTGAAACTCAAACACCATCAACTCACATACCCTCATACAAGCAAGCCCCAGTTTCACACTGGCAGTATGCACATGAGGAAAAAAAGAAAAAGAAAAAAAAAGGAGGACAGGCACAATCAGCATCTCTAGTTTTCGTTTAAAAATCAAATATGTAGCATATTCCTACCTGTGACACAAGCATAAACTTGGTGCAGATGAAAAATAGCAAAATAATGACCTCAGAGATGTTTCCCTGAAATCCCAGCCTTCAGCAAACCTGAAAACTCCAAAAATCCCAGGAGACATTGCCACTGGCATTTGTGAGTGAGCAAGTGCAAAGAATCTTGTATACAGATGAATCTGTATGTGCGCAAACATGTATATGCTGAATATGAGTGGACAGAAACAGCCATCAATGGCGATACACCCCAAACGCAACAAAACTAAAGAAGATGGTGATGCCCACGAGTGAGGCGGTGGCAGGTGCAGTGAAGAACTGCCGGTACTGGATCTGGAAGTACCAGAGCACAGACAGCATAAGCACGAACAGAGGCACCATGAGGCTGCCCACGTTGAGCGCCACATGCACCTGGTCATTAGCGCGTGCCCCGGCAGGCATGGCCCGAGTGGCATGCTGTGAGATGTGGCAGTGCAGAACACTGTTGTCGGACAGGTTGAGGGAAGCCAGCGTCTGAGCATCGTCCTGAAGGAGCTGACCCTGGTAAATCAGACGTACCTGGTGCTCCTGTCCAGCAAAGTAAGTCCTGAAAATATAATCAAACACACAGATGTTTATATACACATAAATACAAACACCTACACATGCTGCTTGACCTGTTTAAGCATATTAGAAATTATTAAGTCATATTTAGGAGGGGGTGATCCTTTTTCCCACTCAGTGAAATTGAGGAGAAAAAAAAGGGGCTTCTGGTGATTAAAGGAATAATACAAGACTGCTGTAGTTACTTTGCAGCCTGAAATGAAGACGGACACAGTTTTTGTTTTATCCAGCTTTTTACTCTTTATTTATTTTACTCTCCCTTTATAACACCCAAATGAAAGATAAAACACCAACATGTCAGAAAAAAAAGAAAACAGATTCACTGATTTGGAAAAAGGATCACCTCCTTGTGTCAGTATTTTGTTGAACCAACTTTTGCTTTAATTACAGCCTGTTGGGATATGTCTCTGTCTCTACTAACTGCACATATAGACTTTGAACTGCTCAAGTTCAGTTAAATTTGATTGTGACTGTTTGTGGACTGCAGTCTTCAGGTTATTCCACAGATTTTCAATGGGGTTTAAGTCTGGGCTCTGACTAGGCCATGCAAGGACATCCACCTTTTTCTCCTTCAACCACTGTGTGGTCAGTTTTGCTGTGTGCAGGGTTTCTACAGACATGTTACATTTTTAAAGTTAAATTTAAGACTTAAGACCTTTTTAATACCACCTTATATGAAATTTAAGAACTAAACCTGTAATGGATTATGTAATATGTGTTCAACGTAAAATAAAACAAAATATCATCGCTGTAATAAATTATATTTATTACTAAGATATACAGTGAACCTTTCATATCAGCAGACATTTTCATCAATGTTCTATCAGCTTTTACATACTTAAATCTGCATATTTTTATTTACCTTTAGAAAGGCCTATTTTTACAAATGCATAAATAATGTTTACACCAACATGTCAGAAAAAAAAGAAAACAGATTCACTGATTTGGAAAAAGGATCACCTCCTTGTGTCAGTATTTTGTTGAACCAACTTTTGCTTTAATTACAGCCTGTTGGGATATGTCTCTGTCTCTACTAACTGCACATATAGACTTTGAACTGCTCAAGTTCAGTTAAATTTGATTGTGACTGTTTGTGGACTGCAGTCTTCAGGTTATTCCACAGATTTTCAATGGGGTTTAAGTCTGGGCTCTGACTAGGCCATGCAAGGACATCCACCTTTTTCTCCTTCAACCACTGTGTGGTCAGTTTTGCTGTGTGCAGGGTTTCTACAGACATGTTACATTTTTAAAGTTAAATTTAAGACTTAAGACCTTTTTAATACCACCTTATATGAAATTTAAGAACTAAACCTGTAATGGATTATGTAATATGTGTTCAACGTAAAATAAAACAAAATATCATCGCTGTAATAAATTATATTTATTACTAAGATATACAGTGAACCTTTCATATCAGCAGACATTTTCATCAATGTTCTATCAGCTTTTACATACTTAAATCTGCATATTTTTATTTACCTTTAGAAAGGCCTATTTTTACAAATGCATAAATAATGTTTTGATATATTAAACATAAAACGTTGAATACTGATATTTGAAATTTAAATAATAAAAAGGTACTTTAAATATGAAATTAAAACCACCAGTAGGTGGCAGCAAGTCACTGTTAATAAGTGAGCCATTGCGATTGAACCGAATCATTTTAACGGTTGATTCATTCAGGAAGGAATCACCGTCATGTTGCTCAGAGACGCACAACAGTGCTGTGGCTGTTTGGAATTATTTTTGTTGTCGAAATAGTGCAAAAACAGCCAATATGGTGTCTAAAACTTCTTAACTTCTAGTTTATTGAACTGTTGTAAAAAATCAATATCACATTTGTAATCATGGTAATTTTGGGAGAATAAAAACGGCACTCTTCATGTGAAATTGATTAACTATGAAGTGGTATAAATATATACATTTTCTGCCCCCATGTCTTGAATTTTGTGATCATAGACTGAATCATGCAGTGAAAGATCGCACTCTCAAGGCGCACGTGCACTAGTGTAGACTTCACGTAATCGTAATACATGAGTGCACTCTGTAGGTGTTTGAATGCTTTTTGCGTCGTGGGAATATTCAGCAAAATAACTCACTTGTCATGGAATGTTACTTAACTATATCATGTTATGAATAAACAAAACATTTTGAATTTTCACCTCAGTGTGTTTCATCCGAGTTTCTTTATGGGTGCCGTTACGTTCATTTGTTCTGAAGTCTCTCACAAAGAGACAACCAGAGTGAAACTCAACAGCGCGACCTTGATACCAGAAATACACTCTCCATTATCAATCGCTGTTTACACTGAATGTAGGCTAATAAAATGAGAAGAATCATTCTCGCGTTTCAATGCTTCGCTGGTTATTTTTTTCTGTCATTTATGTTTTAAGCAGGCTATTTGTCCGGTCCGGCAAGAAAAAAAAAATAATAATAATTTAAACTAGCTACAAGGCTGATCAGCTGTAGCTCGCCTATATTATTATTATTATTATTATTATTATTGACAACTTTAAGAAGATAGTTCAACCTGTATTCTGCTACTGCAATTCTCTCTTGATGATGCAGTTAACTTAACACGGGGGAGAAAAAAAATCTTCGGTCTTTCCAATGATTGTAAACAGTCATTAGGTCCATCAGACTGAAGATATTTTAGCGGTAATGTGACCAAAAATATTTAAGACCCATCGAATCTGAATTTAAAGGCACAATATGTAATTTTCACCGCTGGAGGGCGCGTATTCACGGCGACATCTAGTAGTTTGATGACGCCGTGACTGAGTGTGGAATCATGGGAGTTGTCGTCTTCATCCCCACAGCCGACACAATCCGACAGGCAGAAATCATGTTCATGGATGAGCTAATGATTTATTAACGTAGTAGAATGAAGCAGGGTGAGGCTGAAAGCCATCGAAGCGAAACGAGGCCGCTGAACGAGCGTGACACATGGCTCGAAAGCAGCGGAGCTTTTATTATGCCACAGTCGACTGCTTCCGCTCCTTCCGGTTGTGCGTATGTGGGAAAAAAAGTAGCGCTGTTTTATCATACTAGATACGTTTGAAAGTTCTGTTATAATGCTACTCTGTGCGGTCGTCACCGGTCTAATAAAATGCACAACATATTAAAGCGTCTTTGGTGTTTCATGTTTTCTACAAAACCGGAAATTGAGGGTTTATGTCATTGGCAGGCGACACAATGACACTAAGGACACGGTCCGTGTCACTAGTTAAAATTGCTAATTTCTCTGGATTTAAACATTCTTTGAAATATTTGAGAATGTAAGTACACAAGTCAGCAAAATATATAACACTGTTCTAGTGGTTTTTGGATATTTTAATAAAAAAATCTTACATATTGTGCCTTT